TCGTGTTCACAATAATTAAACTTTAGGATTTATTCTACAATTTAAGTGGGTTAAGAAGCTTAACTTTTCGAGAGTTTTCTTAACTTTTGAGTTTGAATTTTTGTTTTGAATAATTTTGCAAAACTTTTCGAAGTCGTGTCCGTTAAAATCAGCAATTTTTTACATGAATTATATTTCATTCCATACTTTAAATGGCAGGACGCTTTCAATTAATGTCTAGTCTACCCATTTGTTATATTTTCTCGTTTGTTTTACTAATTTTTGACCAATAATAAGCATGTTTTTGTTTTAGAAATTGAAATTCAAATTCCCCGCCATATTTTCATAATTTGGTGCATGCGCAGACGTTTTTCCGCGGTGTTGGGTGGCCCTTCTGTGTGCCTTATTCTGTGGCAATGAGCATGCGCAGTTTGTTTGGAAAAGTAACGCAATGAGCATGCGCAGTTTGTTTGGAAAAGACAAGATGGAGGACGAACTGAAGAAAGCAGAACATCTTTCACATAAAGACCCTGAGAGGGCAATGGAACTTTTGTCTGCTATAGGTATGTATTTACCTAGCATATCAAGTAAACTTATTACAAGATCGTTTGAAACACTAACAAGAAATATCAAACCGTATCGACGTATATATTTTCTTATTTGTTGTCTGTCGTGACTCGTGAGGATTTATCAAAAGTTATATTAAAGTAGACAAAAGAGTTGTTACCACTGGACACATTATTTTAGTTTGTCAAATTCCTTTACAATCTAGAGTCTGATACAACTGAAGTTTATGGGCTAGTGAAATTTTAATCATTTAATTTTTAAAACATTGGTCTTTATAAATAATGGCTTTGACAAGTAAAATTTCTGTAAAATGTATTTGTCTGGTTTTAGCCATATAGACAGAGTAGTTATATGACATGTCCTTGTGTTCAGATATCACCTTTTGGCTGGTAGATTTAGCTGTCCTACGTCCCGCTAGCTTCTCGCATTGGATATGTGATTTTGTAATTTTCACACCAATGTAGAGTCCTAGCCCTAGGGACACTCAAAGGGCCATTCCATTTGATGTCC